ATAGAACTAGAATTGAATGACATTATAATTTTTTATTACAAAAATAAATAAAAGTTTTTTTTAAAAAATAGTATACTTTTAATAAATTATATATAAATGCTTTTTTAATAATATATAAAAATAAAATAATATATTTTGAATAATATATAAAAATAGAATAATATATTGTTTAATATAAAAATAATATATTTTTAATAATATATAAAAATAAATAATATATTTAATATATTTTTAATATATAAAAGATAATATATTTTTAATAATATATAAAAATAAAATAATATATTTTTAAATTATATATAAATACTTTTTTAAGTTTTGTTTTTATATAAGTATTTAATATATCTAATTAAAAAATAAATAAAAGTAAGTTTTCAAATTTTTTATTTGAATTTTTGTTTAAAATGATTTTATTTAATATATTTTAATCATGATTTATAATATATATTATATATTTATTTTTTATTATTATTTGTTAATTTTATTTTTTGAAAAATTGATTCCTACACACATGGGAATGAGAAAACCCTCCATTTACTATGGAATGGTTAACCCCATGGAGATGAGTTTTGCCATTCCCATTGGAATGGTCATTCCTTCCCAAAAAATATATCAATAATGAGATAAAGAATGAGTAAAGGAATAATCATTTCATTCCTATGTCATTCCATCATACCCATCATGCCAGTAGTATTATACGTTGGTATTACTTTTGTCTTTTTTTCTTTTTCTTTTTCTTCAATCTTCTTAGTAATTCGGTTATCATCGATCACTTAACTCAAAATAATTGCCCTGAAAAAATGCTCATTTTTTAGGCACTGTAGCAAAACCCTTATTTGTGTAGGAACTCGTCGTAATCTGCGTTGCCCTCTCTCTGCTCTCTGCTCGGCTCGAGCTGGTGTGGCTATGGGAATTCCGACCAACTCTGTTATTGACAACTTTTTATATACAATATATCAAATTATTCATGTCTTGATGAGCTTCCATTTGACATTTATATTATACAAAAAAAAACAAATATTTCTATTTATATTTATAATTAAAATTAAATAAACTATTAATATTAATTCAAAAAAAATAAAATTAATTAAACCAACTTAACTACAAAGTAGTTATCTGATATAAATTTAAAAAAAATAATATTAGATAGTTAGTCATGTAAGTGAAAATGTTATTTTAAATATAAATAATAATGTATTTTTAAATGAATATTTTAAAACTAAATAAATATTGTTATTATTATTTAATTTTAAATATAATTTTTTAACGAGTATAGTACACAAGTATTTACTAGTTTAAAGCAGTAGGAATTTGTGTAATATAATTGGTTGGTCAAAATTTGGGTGTATGGTTGTGCATTGAAGGCGAGCAGACAAGAAAATACGACGGCGATTTGGAAAATCCAGTGGGGCCCACGAAATCAGATTTCATACTGAAGACACACCGGTTTCTTTATTACTACTTTTTTACTTATTATTTTTAATTTTGGCGGCTCTTCTATGCTTTCATCTGAAACAAAATCTCTCCTCAATTTTAAATAACGATAAAATAAAATAATAGAGCGAGATTGATTTATTATTATTTTCTCATCTCCTTACCTAACCAAGTCAACATTTATGTTATTTTATAGTGTCGCTTTCGAGTTGAAAAAGTAATCTTATAAAGTAGGATTAGTTAATAATACGTGACGGCTAAGATGAATTTGGTGGAATTAAATGAGACTAGGTTTTTTATCAAAAGAGTCGTGTCAAATTTGTTTGCGAACAATTGATTTTTATATGTAATAAATGAAACAATTGGATCGAACTTGTTGGGTACGAACATTGTATTACACAAACAACTTGTTCAAGATTTTAAATTTATTAATGTAACTTTCATTCTTACTTTTGTGTTACACTTTACCGTATATAAAAACTTAATATTTGGTCTCGTTATTTTTAAATTCATTTTAATACCAAAATACAATTTGATACCAATAAATTTTAGATATAATTATAAAATTAAATCATAAATTCATAAGCTTATTATAGTTATCAAGATATCTATTTTGTCACGAATAATACAATGAATAAAAGGAAAATGAAAAATAATTACTAAGCAGAACAAAATAAAATACAAAAATGAGAAAATAAAATATACCAAACTAACTCTTATGGGACTTTGAATGTGAAGCAAAATACAATGGAGATTATGCAACTATTTCAACATAATGTCAAATAGGCCTCAAACGAGCACAAGGTGAAAAGTAAAGTTATTCGGTTCGACTCGACTTAATAAACTAACACCCTATGTGAAACTAAAAGCATGTTTGTTTAAAAATTTTAGTTTTATTTAGATTTTTTAGTTTGATTTGGTTAATTTTGAAAAATAGTGGTATGGTTAAGTGTTAGTGGGTATATTAAAATAATATTTAAAATAAAATAATTGAAATTGATTTGATGTAAAGTAGGAGATGGATGATTTGAAGTGATATTTAGTTAAAATAATGTGAGTGGGTAAATAGTGAATTAAGGTTGATGTTGTGTGTATGAATGACTGATTGATAGTATTTAATTATATTGACAATATTGTGATAGTGAGGTTGAGTTAAAATTGAGTTAAAATGTTGGAAGTTGTTTGAAAATTCTTATAAACAAACATGATCTAAATGTTATTTTTGTTGGAATACGCACTTGAAATTTGAAAATACTTTATTCTAATTACAAGATTTAAATCCCAATACTCTTTGTATGTAGTTAATTTACTATTACCTAATTTAATAGTTGTATAACCAGCCATTGCCTTTTCCAATATAAATATGCGTCATTAGCTTTTTTTGAGCCACAGTACACAAAATCAACATTGTGCAGTCAATCAATGCTCAAGATCCGAGACCAGTCAACAGCCCGAGCTGTACCTGCATCACACCCAGTGAATGACCATACGGTTATTTTTATTATTATTATTTCGTTCTTTTTTTAATTATTTTACTTTAAAATAAAATTCAGTTTAATTTATTGCCACAAAATTAATAAATAAATATTACACCTAATTAACCTCCTTTAATAAATGGAAGATTTTCAAAAATTTTAAAATAATTTTGAGGCAAATTGAAAATTAGATGTAAATAGTATGATATATAACACTCATGCTGGCTCGTATAGACTGACTAGAACTACTAGCTTGAGTCAGTTGGTTGGCCATAGTTTCTAACTTAATGATAGAGTGTGACTCTGTCGAGGAGCTCAGTAATACAACACGATGTACAAGTCAACTTTGGTCAAGGTAGGTCGGAGCTCATCTTGGAACTCAATCAGATGAGGGGTCATGAGTTCGCCTGAGCGATGTGATAGAGTACCTGGTTGTAGGGTCATGCTGACCTAAGGACCTGTAGTGTCCTAACGGACAAGGAAGCAACAAAAGATTTACCATCGGAATCCCATTTTGCAGGTCATCGAAACTTGAATCGGAACATAGTTTGTGACGTCACCGATCCATTAGTCGTTTTGAAGTAGCTTACACATCAAGGTGGAAAAACATAAGTTCGAAACTAAAATTTGAGTTTAAATAACCTAAAAGTTGATGAATTCGAAAGCTTTTGATATTTGGTGAATGGTTGGTCAATCCAAACAATCCATAATCATGCACTATACACGCTAAAACGCTAATAGTATGCATTGGAGGACGAGTAGGAAAAAACCAGACACTGTTCGGCTCCGTCACGACCCGAGAATGATTGTTGCTCTGATGTCCATAAGTTGTCTCTTAGCTTTCAATTGCGTCTGTTCTGTTCTCATCCATGCACATCCCAAAAGGTATTATTTGACACTTATACCTCTTGGAGGTGCATCCGAGCACATCACAAGTGGTATCTCTTAACAAATAAGCATCTTGGAGATGTTTTGCTACATCTATAAATACCCCATGCATGAATCATTCAAGAAATTTTGCAATTAAAGAGCTTTTGCATTACATCTGTCAAAGTGCATATGGCATATTGATTTTTTTTTTTTTTTTCTCATTGAGTTTTGAGAATTCGAACATTAATATTATTAGTGGAAGTCTAGTTTTCTACATCTTTAAATCTTTTTCTTGATATTCACATAACATCTAACAACACCTCTACGGGGTATTAGAATGGAACCAAAACATTTGATATGACATTACGAACACCTCAATGTGCAAGCTGAAGTAAATGGGGTCATAATTCTTACCTAGGTTATATCAATAAGTTGATATAGAAAGAAGTCCGGGTTGTTGTGATTCGACTTATGACAATGAAATATGGTGAGGCGGATTGTTGTGGAGTGGTACACTCAAGCTCAAGAGAGATCGAGCTCCAACAACAAAAGATAATTAGTTCTATAGAATGAATTGTCCAAGTTTGAGCATGAACGAGCCAAGGGTTATAATTTAAATGGAAGATGTTCCGTTACAGTATCTTAAAATTTGGAGAATTTTATAGATATTACGTTAATCAAAATCCTGACCCAAGTGATTTGAAAATTTTATTTTAGAGGAAAAATCCTGTTCAACAGGATAACTATGTAAATATAAGAGGAGGTAAAATGACTTTTATATGAGATATGATAAATGGTATCTAAAAAAAGATACACAAATTAGTTGTTGGAGAGCTTAGGCCAAGACTTTAACCGACACTTAATAGATAAGTATGTGTTAAGCATACAATTATCCATTAACCCAAACACCCGATTAACTTGATGCTTTACGTGAAATTTGCTTTATACTATATCAGATTGCAGCCTTTATTATTGTTACTATTGTTAAATATGAAAAAAACACCAAGTTCTTATGTAAAGATTTATATAGCATTTTATATTCTAACAAAAAGTATTGTACCAGATGTGTCACATTCCATCCAACCATGAAATAGCCACTTAAGCAACTCTCTCTCTCTCTCTCTCTTCTCTCTCTCTCCTCACCTGCCCTTGAACCAAATGTTTGAAACTGTCAAATAAAGCGACAAGTCGGATATAATGGAGAGTAGATTTGCAAAGATTTTCCCCCATCTCTCTAACCATTTTTCCTTGCCCATAAAGCAGATGACTTTCACACTGTCTCTCTCTCTCACACACACACCAGCTATACATCTAGCACCTAGTAGCTCACCGCTCTATATATACAGCCATACGAAGCCGCTAGGGCAAAAGAGATTCCAATAGCTCACACACCTAAAAAAATTGTAGTAAAAAAAGAGAGAAAAATGGATGTTGCAAAAATGGAGACCGATGGTTCTTCGGATGTTGTAGCTCAGGAGCTGTGTGTCCTTGCAGTTGATGACAGTCTTGTGGATAGGAAGGTTATTGAGCGCTTGCTCAAGATTTCTCGCTGCAAAGGTTTGATTTCTATTTAGTGTTTTGTATTTTTTGAGCTGTTCTTTTTGTATATTGTTGTTTTGGCTTAAAGGGGTGTTAAAATGGTATTTATTGCAGCGATTTCTGTGGAAAGTGGGACGAGGGCTCTGCAGTATTTGGGCTTGGACGAAGAGAAGAACTCTTCTGGGTTTGATGTAAGAAAAAGGAACAATCTTTTTAGTCGCTTTTTTTGGTTGCTATTTTCTTTTTTCTGTTTGTGTTTTTTATTAGTTTCTTGAAGTGTGGTAACTTGTGTTTAGCCAACTGATGTTTATCCCTTTTCTGTTTTTACCTTGCAAATTATAACATTAGTTTGGAAATCCCTTGTTTTATGTTATGGTTTGGATCTGGAAATAACTGGAAAATTGAATCTTGATTAGAAAAGGTGTAGTCTTTCTTCCTTATTTTCCCTTTAGAAGCCCAGAAGATTTTTTCTTTCCTCTTTTTTTTTTTTTTGGCATANTGTGGCATAGTTTGTTTATGAATTATGAGTACTATTTGGGTGTGATTGTTTAAGGGATTTGCAGATCGTAACATCTGTTTTAATGTTGTTTACAGGACTTGAAGGTGAATCTGATAATGACAGACTATTCTATGCCTGGCATGACTGGATTTGAACTTCTCCAGAAGATCAAGGTTGGTATTTCTTACTTTATTTTTCTTTGACTGGCTATATATGCAAAATAAAAAATATTGCAAATTTTTTTCCCTTAATGATATGATTTTAATTGTCTATCTTGTTTTGGCAGGGCTCGGCCAAACTCAAGGGAATCCCGGTTGTGATCATGTCGTCTGAGAACATAATGACTCGTATAGATAGGTATTTCCTTGTGGAGCTGCTCAATTGTGATAGAAATATTAACTCTCATTTGAGCATTCTTGAAGATTTCTATGGAAAAAAACCAAAATAAAATAAGAAAAATACTGCTTAATTTGAACTTGAAGCAGAGTTTTGTTCCCACAAATGGTTTAGCCTCGGTTATTTTAATAACTATAATAATATATGAATACAATCAGCTGACGACTTCTTCAATTAATATTTACATGTCTTGATTTTCAGGTGTTTGGAGGAAGGGGCCGAAGAATATCTCGTGAAGCCGGTAAAGCTCTCGGATGTCGAGAGGGTTAGAGACTGCATTCTGCGAGGAGAGGGCAAAACAGGGAATTCACTTAACCCTAAGAGGAAAATCGGAGTCGAGCCTCCACCACCGGCCCTCGACTGTGAAACTGATCCAGTGGGGCCCACATCATCAGAGCCCATCAGCCATGAAAGCCCGACTTCCCCTTGTCCGGGCCCAGAACTTCAGCCCGAGCTGCACGATCAGCCTCTGGCCAAGCGCCAAAGTTTGGTGGCAGCCGCAGATCGACTTTGACTTTGACTTTGACTTTGACTTTTGACCCATCCTGACTCGACGCTATTAGTATTAAGTGTTCTGTTTTCTTTTGAGTCTTAGCTTGTTATATTAGAAATGTAGGTAAATGGTGATTAATTTTGGAGAAGCGATTGTGATCAGTTGGGCTAATTCGGTTTTGTTCGGGCTCGACTTGTTTTTTGGGTACAAACATGGCTAGGGAATGAGTAGATGGATGATGAAATTGTTTTTTGTTTCTGTATGGTACATAGTAGTGTGTAATCATCTGCATGGAGTTTGACTCCAAGGTCAGTTAGTTGTCTGGTTTGTAAGGCTGTTTTTGGTATTTTTTGTCTGGAATTGAACTGGCCAATTGTCATATGATTTGGTGAAGTATAGTTCTGCAGATTTTATTATTGTTTTATTGGAATCTAACATAGTTCAAGTATGAAAACGATGAATTTTCAACAAGTTGAAATAGGTTTGACTTAATTTGATTCAAATACATGGGATATAGGGGTGTATTTTATTTAAGATTAGAGAATCATAAATAATTAAAAGTATTGAAATCATGACACGAGATCGGTAGACACGCCCGTGAATGTGGTTGAAAAATTATGAAAGTGTGAAATCAAGGTAATCTTAGACCACCTCCAATCGAACTGGAAAACGCAAAATAAGGGAAGAAAATTATGTGGTTGAAAAATTATGAAAGTGTGAAATTAAGGTCATCTTAGACCACCTCCAATCGAACTGGAAAACGCAAAATGAGACCATCTCCAGCCCTTAACTCTACTCTAGCGCGGATTTTACTCTACTTTAAAATAGAGTTAAACATTCGTCTCCAGCCCTTATCTCTACATTTTACTCTACATCAAATATATTATTCTTTATTCATTTTTTATTTCAAATTAATTGGTATATATATATATATATTTAATCTTATATAAATGTTTATTACCCAAATAATAAAAATATGTTTAGTATAAAAAATACGTTACACAAAGTTATAAATTAGCTAGCATAAAAAATACATTACACAAAGTTATTTAGCATAAAAAATACATTTACTAATACACATTATACAAAAATTTATCATTAATATTACATTACAAAAAAAAATAAAAAATATAGAGATGCTACAGTGTTGCGCCACATCTGGCGCAACACTGTTGTAATCTCCAAAGTAACGCAGACAATTGGTGCAGGGTTGGACAGTATTTTAACGCTACAATAGCGGAAAAGGAGAGAAATAGAGCAGCGTTGGAGCTGCTCTGAGGGAAGAAAATTGCTCCAACCGAATCTCAAACTCATACGCAAAATGCGTTTGGTCTCTTTTTCTCTCTCTTATTGACGCAAATATGCGTTTGCATTTCAGGCATCACATAATTTTTATGCAATCACAAATCAGTCCTCAATTTTTTTTAAATGTCCAATTTGCTATCTATTAAATTTATATAATATATCTATTTGCTTTATATTTATAAAATACTATCACTGTTTATATGAAAAATGGTTAAATATGTTTATTTACTTTATATTTCTAAATTACAATTTGTTTGAAATATTATAACAATCATATACTTAATTTTTTTTAAAAAAGTAGAATATTGTATCTATGTTAATATTACTGATAGTTTATATGTCAATAATAATAATAATAATAATAATAATAATAATAATAATAATAATAATTATTATTATTATTATTATTATTATTATTATTATATCTATAACATTTTCTATACATTTTACTACATGTTTCTATATAATATTGAGGTGTAATTTTATTACATGTTTTCAAATATGTATAATTTTTATTATGTCCTTAATGTTTTTTTATTCGGTTATATTAATTTTTAATTTTTCATAAATATATATTTTTTGATTTGTCATGTGTACAAATATTTATTTTATAATTAGTATTATTATATATTTTTCCAATCAAAATTTAAAATAAAATTGTGGTCTAATTTGTAAATTTGTAAAATGTGTGGGTAATATTAAAAAATTGTAAAAGGTGATGAGAAAGAAAATATTTCAGAAATATTTTTTTGGGTTTGAGTATGAGTTTTTCAGTTGGAGAAGAATTACTGTTTGATGTGACAGTTACTGCAAGATGAGTTTGAAAATAAGTTTGTCGTTGGAGATGGTCTTAGAATAAGAAATACAAAAAAAATCAAAAGCTATTGATAGACACGACCGTGTATGTGGTTGAAAAACTATGGAAGTGTGAAATCAAGGTCATCTTAGAATAAGAAATACAAAAAAAATAAATCAAAAGATAGTGTCAACAAGTGACACGTAAATGAAAGAGCTTAAGAGGTTTATAGAAAAATAAATAAATAAATATGAAGATTTATAATTTTTCAATTTTTTCTATTCTATTATGTAATCTAGTGGAAATACCTTAGGAGGTTTATATATGATTTTTCAATTTTTTCTAATATGTAATCTAGTGTCACCAAGTGAAACAAAAATAAAAGACCTTAAGAGATTTATGATTATTTTCTAATCTTTTCTACTGTGATTAAAAGATTACGAAATCTTGATACGTGATGATTTTTCAATATCTTTTAATGTGGTTAAAAGATCACGAAATCTTGATATGTGATTGGTCTATAAACGAGCCGAGTGGATATCGAGCTCTAACGGAAATATAGAAAACTACACAAAAAATTTATTTTCGAGTCTTAACGAGCCTTATCGAGCCGAGCCGATCCGAGCTCAACTCGTTAACCAAATGAGCTTTAAATGAGCTTGAACTCGGCTCGAGCTGAGCCTTAACGAGATCAGTTCGAGCTGAGCCGAGCTCGTCTCGTTAACTAAACGAGCTTTAAACAAGCTTGTGCCGAGCCACACTCGTTTAATTTAACAGCACTAGACACAATGTATATGTGGTTGAAAAATCAAAAAATCTTTCTTACCAGGGTAACACAAATTAATGTTAACAACGGTTTGCATGTGGTTAAAAGTTCATGAAATCTTAATAAGAGATTCACTGATAGAATGTGTATGTGGTTGAAAAATCACGAAATCTTTGTTAATATTGGTGACACAAATTAATGTTACAACCGGCGTGTAAGTGATTGAAAGATCATGAATCTTGACATAGACTGGTAAACGTGTGTGGTTAAAAATTTAAGAAACCTTAATACGTGAGTCAATACATATTAATATGTGCATAGATTATAATATATTCATTAAGCTTGAAAGTTCATGAAAGATCGAGGTGTGTATTTGCGTACATTAGTTGACCAATTAAGATGCATTCATTACTTTAATTATATATATAATTGTAACAGTTGTGATTTAATCCGTTTTCAATTCCCTCATGGTGACTTCACTTGAAATTTATCTAATCTCCATTAATGATATGACTGATCCTTCAATTTTCCTCCAAATTATACACATAATCTCCTTCATTTTTTTTTCTTTTTTGATTTGATATTCTTACATATCTATTTAATTCAAATGGTTGAACTAAATAGAGATTATAGAACCACGTTAATTGAGATTAGTGATGGTAATTATGCGCTTTGATGGTCAAGGGTTTGTAAAAGCTCTAGTATTTTTCTTATTTTCTTGGGAGTATTAAAGACTCATAACTTTTTATCATAAATTTGCAGATGAAGATAAGAGTTAAGGATTGATGATGAACAATAAGTCTTGGTAAATTGAGCTTAGTTTAAAGCATGGAAAAAAGGAGAAATGGAGTTGAAGCACTTGTGGGGCCAATTAAGTTGAATCTATGATAATGTCAGCACTTTTCAAGGTACTTTTTCCTTTCTCTTTTTTGCTGAAGAATGTGCTAAAAGATCCATTTTTTTTTAATTGAAAATGTGATCTTGCATTTTTTTTTTTTCTACATATGTTATGAGCACTCATTCTCACTGTTCAAATTTGTTAAAAACTAAGATATATGAAGAAAAATAGGTAATAAAAAAAACAGAGAATGGTGTAGTTCTGATTCATAAATATCACATTATCTTCAAGAGAAAGCAATAGTGTGCAGACAAGGTGTTCGAGATAATGCTTGAGTAAATAATGATATAATCTGCTGCTACTCTCTTTTCATCTGGCTAAAAGAAGGGCCACACTTTTTATATTGACATAGGATCACAATGCTTACCCCGACTAATGTCTTTCTATGTTTCGTCTAGGTTCGTAAACTAACGTCATTAAGTTCAAACGAATGATTAATAAGCCTGATGTTTTGATCAAACAGTAGTTGAAATCTTGATTCATTTGATGAACCTT